TCGATATCGCACCCTGCTTGTCACTTCCCGGTCGGATGCACCACCCATTGTCTCCGCAGTACCGTCGGTGGTGGGTCGCCATTGTCTAGCAGCAGCTGACATGCTCGTGCACAGGAATCAGCCACTGTTCCTGCAGGTCTTTAACACGGCTGACACACCCATTATAATTCAGGAAGAGACCTTGTTTGCAAATGTCAGTCCCATGCATTTGAAACCTGAATCGCACACCGTCAACAATGTGCAATTGGATGGCCCATCGGTCAGCGCAGAGGACATGTCATGGATAGATGCGCTCCTGCCACAGAACAGCAATCTGTCGGCAAGGGAATCGGGGGAGCTCAGGACTTTGTTGAGTGACTTTGCAGAAGTGTCCAGTCAGGGTCCCTACGATGTTGGTCGCATGACGCCGATGGAGCACCACATTGATACGGGCGATGCACCACCCATTTGGCAGAACGCCTATAGGATGGGTCCTAGCGAGAAGGAGCAAGTGCAGCAGGCAGTGCAGGAGATGATGGAGTCTGACATCATATCGCCATCTACGAGTCCATGGGGGGGCACCAGTTTTCTTGGTTAAGAAATCGGATGGATTCTTGCGTTTTTGCATATACTTCTGGCGGATGAACAAAGTTACCTTGGCGGACGCCTACCCGCTCCCACTCATAGATGACTCATTGGATGCACTCACAGGAGCAATCCTTTTCTCCACACTAGACCTTTTGCTGGAATTCTGGCAGCTACCACTAGATGCTGAATCAGACCAAAAACGGCGTTCAGAACGCCTCAAGGTCTCTTTCATTTCAACTGTTTGCCGATGGGTTTACAGACAGCTCCTGCCACTTTCCAGTGGTTGATGGAGCTGGCAGTGGGAGTCGTACCTCATCTATCTGGATGATGTGATCGTGTTTGCTCGCACATTCGAGGCGCACTTAACCTGGTTGCGACAGGTGCTTTAGAAAATTCGTGATGCAAAGCTCAAGTTAAAACCCTCCAAGTGCCATCTGGTACTCTCCTCCATAAAATACTTGGGTCATGTCATGAATGCATCAGGGGTCACGACAGACCCTGACAAAACAGCGTGCGTCCGTGATTGTCCAACACCCACGTCCGTGCCTGAAGTCCGCAGATTCGTGGTGTTTGTATCCTATTACCGCCGTTTTGTCGAGAACTTTGCTACCATCGCTAAGCCCTTGAATGCGCTCACGGCGAAGGGACAGTCGTTTCGTTGGGGCCAGGCAGAGACCAACGCGTTCTTGACACTACGCCAGTGGTTGACAGAAGCGCCGCCCCTAGCATACCTCGATTTTTCGATTCCCTTCCTGCTGGACATGGATGCGAGTGACGTGGGCAATGGGGCCATTCTCTCCCAGATTCAGGAGGGGAGAGAGGTTGTCAATGCCTACAGAAGTCGTGTCTTGTCGCAGGCCAAGCAGCGGTATTGCGTTACGCGCCGCGAGCTGCTTGCCATCGTCCACTTTGTTCAGCAGTTTTTCGGCCCTACCTGTACGGCCGCGACTTCACTGTTCAGATAGATCATGCGGCATTGCAGTACTCACTCCGCATTGACCAAGCGACCGGTCAGATGGCCCGATGGTTCGAGCGGTTGCAAGAGTACATGTATCGAGTGGTGCATCGGAAAGGAATTAGGCATACGAACGCCGATGCATTGTCCAGACTGGCAGCCCACGTTAAGTGCGCCTGCAGCGATGGATCCGCGCACTGTAGACCACCGGCCGCGGCGCAACCCGAGATCGTGGCGCCGGTTTCCGCCGGGGACATAAACCGGGCGAGGCCTCCGGTATCGCTTGATAATGACTTGGGGCTCACCCTGCGGGAATGGGGGGATCAGCAGCAGCTAGAAGCGGCTAAGGCACCACTTCACCGGCTGGCGGAGGCGGCATGCGCTGACGATCTCCCCACGTCGGGGAAATTTTTCCTCATGTGGGAAGGCTTGTTGATGCGCTGGGATGCGACTGCCAACCGTAAAGTCCTGGTGGTGCCCTCTTCCCTGTGAATTCAGCTATCCACCGTTGTTCACGTCCGACAGTTGCTTCATCTAGGTAGCCGTAAGACCGAGGCTGCACTCCGCCTTCACTATTTTTGGCCGGGCATGTCCGCCGATATCTGCCGTGGGGTATCGGCGTGCGCGGACTGTGCGCGCAGGAAGCCCCCGCTGGTCGTGCAAAGCACTCCCCTGCAGTCCATTAAAGTTTCCCGGGTAAATGAGCTCGTGGGCCTCGATATCTTGGGCCCCTTCCCCGCCACTCCTCGAGGAAGTAGATACCTACTGTTGGGGATGGAGTACTTTATACGATGGCCCTTTGCCTGCCCGTTGGCCGACCAGATGGCGGCGTCCATAGCAGACGCCTTTGTAAATTGGTATGTCACTGACAAGGGGGCTCCCGAGCGGCTACTGATGGACCAGGGCAGAAACTTTTCCTCCAAGCTTTTGCGCGAGGTGTGTGACATGCCAGGTGTCAAGAAGGTACGGACGTCTCCTTACCACCCACAAACGGACAGGATGATGGAATGCTTTAACCGCACCATTTCGGGGATGCTGTGTCACTTGGTCATTGACCAGCAGACAGACTGGGATTTGCACATCCCTGGGGTTTTGACGGCCTATCACTCGGCGTTGCATGCATCAACGGGATATTCACCATTTTTCTTGATGTATGGACGCGAACCGAGCCCTCCGATTGAGGCACAGTTGCGCCCTGTCCCATCACGTGCAAGAGATTGGCCAGCCACGTTCCGCCACTCATTCAGGTATTTGCGCGAGCTCGCAAGGTACCTTTAGGAATGTCAGGAAAACTGCCCTGGCAGGGCCTGGTCACAGTGCTGCAGGTATTGCGACCTCAATGTGTTCACATTCAGATGGGAAAGCGTAGGTGGTATGTTCACCCCTCTAGGCTAAAACGTTACGTCGCGCTCGAGCTGCCCCTACGAGCATCTTCACCTTCCTTTCTAGATTTGAAGCTTTCGTGACTGCAAGGATTCATACTCTTTGTTTTTTTTCGGTAAAGTCACGTAGGTAAAATAAAAACAACTAAATTAAATCACGACGTTTCGGAGGCAACACAAGCTTCCGTCTTCAGGTGGAACAGTCACAGCAGAATAGCTGTATCAAGTGGAGATCTCTGAGACAACCGAGATTATATACAGGTTAAAGGGGGGGGGGGAGGAGCCAAGAAGGGATGTGGGTGGGGGGGAGGGCTGAGTTAAGCCACCTTTTGTTATGTTGCAGGGGGTTCGGGGGTAGCGGTGGTGCACTGTACGAAAACGGGTAAAACACCCTTTTGTTATGTTGTAGGGGGTTCGAGGGGAGAGATGCACGAGTACACACAACCCACTGAAAGCAATGGAAATGGCTGTACAATTACAAGGCAGCCAAACTTTGACTTGGTTTATAACATCTTTCCAATGGTTGCTCAATTTTAAACCATCCTCTCGGTTGAAGTTGTGTCTATGTTTGTATATCTGGATGGCTTCATGGACAAATCCATGGCTTCATGGACAAATTCATGAAGCTATCCAGATATACAAACATAGACACAACTTCAACCGAGAGGATGGTTTCAAATTGAGTAACCATTGAAAAGATGTTATAAACCAAGTCAAAGTTTGACTGCCTTATAATTGTACAGCCATTGCCATTGCTTTCAGTGGGTTGCATGTACTCGTGCATCTCTCCCCCCGAACCCCCTACAGCATAACAAAAGATGGCTTAACTCAGCCCTCCCCCCCACTTACATCCCTTCTTGGCTCCTCCCCCCCCCCCTTAACCTGTATATAATCTCGGTTGTCTCAGAGCTCTGCACTTGATACAGCTATTCTGCTGTGACTGTTCCACCTGAAGACGGAAGCTTGTGTTGCCTCCGAAATGTCGTGATTTAATTTAGTTGTTTTTATTTTACCTACGTGACTTTACCGAAAAAAAACAAAGAGTATGAATCTTCACCTTCACCACCTTCATCGTCAGTTCGGCTGAGTGGGAGGAGGTTGTCACACTCGCGGCCTGCAACGTGTCCGACTGACAATGCAGCCACTGTCCACCCTGCAGGACTACAGGTGACCGGGACGCCAGCACCGGATCCATCGGCGTCCGTGGCTGAAGACGCAGCCGCAGCATCAGCCGAGGACTTGGCCACAGGACGGGGCCCCTTAAGCCGCTCACGCTCACGCCACCTCGTCGCAGTTGTGGACACAGACATCCCTGCAACCCTGTTGTGTTCACTAAAGGGATCGGATCGTGAGGGAAGTCTGCTACAGAGGCGGTGCTCTTGTTAACAATTAGACGGAGGGGGAATGGTATTGTGTTACTTTTGCTTTATTGCACATTTTTCAGACACGAATCTCTGCTCTTACTATAACACGCACCAATCACACGAGCGGAAATGCGCTGGACGGGGGTCAGGGGTTAAAGGGCACTGCCGTCACCCGGACTAGGCGTGCGGGACGAGGATGTGTATTGAGAACGAGGGCGGAGGTGGGGGGTTTAAAAGGGGCTGTGAGACGCATGTTCGCAAGGGCGCCCTAAAGGGGTGGAAGGTTAGGACGATTCTAAGGGCCCAGGCTGATTTAGGGCCCAGAAGAGCAGACCCCCTTTTTATTTTCTTATTTCTTTTCTCTTTTTTATACATACATTAAATGTGCTAGGGCCCTTCATGCACTAAATGTGTATTTTGTCCGTTTTGACCATAGATTTAATATTTAAAAAAACAAATAATGTATTTACTGTTTCAGTCACACCCCTCCCCCTCACAATGGTTCATTCCACCTGCGCTGTCCGAGCTACGATCGCTAGTGTAGTGTCTCTTGCTTATTGCACTTGCTATGATGCAGTGCAGACAGTGACACACGCAGGCATGTCACATCAAAAGTCAGGGCATCAAAAACGGAAAGAAAAGAAGGAAAGAGAAGACAGAGAACGCCGAAGTCGACAGTATGTCACACAGTTTTTCAAAAAGAAAGGTAGCTTGCCCTATTCCTTTATTCCAAAACTTTCAGAGTTACTTATTTTTGTTGCTACATGACCTGCTTTTATCTAGCTAGCTTAGTAAAATAATTACTGAATTATGATTTACATCCAACAATAATAACATCTCTGCTGTCTCCGGGGTTATCATGTCTCGTAGACACAGATTCAGCGGCTGCTGCACACCCACATCCTCCTTCCCCCACGTCCCCCGTCCCCGTCTCAGCCGAACAAGGTGAGCCTGAGCGCGAAACTTCACGAAGATTGAAGCCTCTAAACACGTCTTATCTACTATGTTCGCCACATGATGATAACTTTACAAAACAAAAAGTAATCTACACGCTTCAAAAATTACAAAATCAGTTTGCCGTGTGTGTGTCGTGTGTTCTGTGAAGTGACAGTGCTGCTGCTACGATCAATGCTGTCAAACTTGACGTTCTTAATGTGAATAAAATGGCCCAGAAAAAATAATATAAAATTGAATAAAACATGTGTCTGTAGTAACCATTGGCTATAAGGAGTTTACAAAATATATATTTTAATATTTTATATTAAGAAAACTAAATAGGCCAATAAAAATAATATGGTTATTATTACGTGTGTGTGTTTGACTTATACAGATGCAGAGTCAGCTTTATTGTCTGCACCTCGTTCTCCTACTAATGACCCAGTCCTCTCAGTGTCAGGTAAGGTGAACATGGTCAGCTACCAAGGTAGTAAAAAACTAATTAAGTTTTGGATTGTCTAATTTTTTTCTTGTGTTGTATAGTTATATGTTTCATATAATATTATTCAACAATGCAGTTACGAAAATATTAATTCTAAGCTGTAACCTGTTGTTGACTGGGGGACAAAAATAATTTTGCTATCCTAACTCCACAGAAACAAGAGAGAGACAGAGAGTTTTGCCAGGAAAGAGTGTGGAAGTTGAGGAAGCGGTGAGAATAGTGGAATATGAGAGCACAGAGGGAGCCCTAAGTGTAAAGGAAGATAACAGAAGAGAGGAAGATGAGAGAACAGAGGAAGCCATGAGAGCAGACTCAGAGGAAGATGAGAGAACAGGGGAAGCCATGAGAGCAGACTCAGAGGAAGATCAGAGAACAGCGGAAGCCATGAGAGCAGACTCAGAGGAAGATGAGAGAACAGAGGAAGCCATGAGAGCAGACTCAGAGGAAGATGAGAGAACAGGGGAAGCCATGAGAGCAGACTCAGTGGAAGATGAGAGAACAGGGGAAGCCATGAGAGCAGACTCAGAGGAAGATGAGAGAACAGGGGAAGCCATGAGAGCAGACTCAGAGGAAGATGAAGAAGAGACTTGTGTCAAATGATCCTGCTTTGTGGCCAGCAAAAATTAGCAATGCAGACAGAGAAAAAATTGTGGAAAAAATAGCTTCTTCTAAAGATAAAGAACAAGAAATGCCACATGATTCAAAAGGTAAAGCCTTCCCAGAATACCTCAAGTACACAAAGTCAGGAAATTGCAGGGAAAAGATTAAGAGAGACTGGGTCATTTACAGCCAAAGCACAAAAGCACTATTTTGTATTCCTTGTGTATTATTTGGTCATGAGCTAAATAAACCTTGTATGAGCGCACTAAGCAGTCAACATGGTTATAAAATCAAAGACATAACATGGCGTCGAATGTATGATAAATTCCCTAACCACGAAAGCAGCAAAGCACACAGAGAGTGCTACTTAAAATGGAAAACCTTACAACAGTCTGTAATGGCAGCTGTCCCTGGGGGAATAGACAGCAAGCTGAAGAAGCTCATACAAACAGAAATAGACAAAAATAGAGCTATTCTGAAGAGGATACTAGATGTAACCTTGTTCTTGGCTTCTCGAAATTTACCCTTTAGGGGTAAAACAAAAGACTTGGGGGACCTTCATAATGGCAACTTCTTGGGCACCCTTGATCTCCTGTCCCATTATGACCCACTACTCAACGAACATCCATAAAAAGTCAGAGACAAAAAAACAGGAACAAGATTGACACTATTTAAGCTCAGATATTCAGAACGAATTTATGGAGTTATGTGGAAAACGAGTGTTAAGTAGTATTCTTGAGGAAAGGGAGAAATCAGTCTATTATTCAGTCATTTACGATGCTACTCCTGATATTTCACATACAGAGCAAAATGTATTACTCTTACGATATGTAGGTTTTGATCAAGAAAACAAGAAATGGGAGGTTGTTGAAAGGTTTTTGGAGTTTAAAGATTTTCACAAAAAAACAGTGAGATTGCAGACATGATTGTAAATGTGCTTAACAGTCATGGCATAGATCTGAATGACTGCAGGGGCCAAGGCTATGATAATGGGGCAAACATGTCTGGAAAAATCAAGGGGGTTCAAGCCCAATTATTAAAAAAGAATAAGCTGGCTACTTTTTCCCCTTGTGCGTCTCATACTCTGAACCTTGTTGGTGTGCATGCAGCTCAATCAAGTCCAGAGGTTACCAACTTTTTTGGCTTTGTCAATCGCCTTTATGCACTTGTTAGTGCCAGCCCAGAGCGATGGGCCATCTATAAGTCAAAAACGGGTTGCACTTTACATCGTCTGTCAGACACTCGGTGGAGTGCAAGGGTTAAGGCTGTTCAGCCTATAGCCAAGCACCTGCCCAGTGTCCTAGAAGCTCTTGATGCCATCCTCTCAACCTGCAGTCTGACACCAGAGGCTCGGTCTGAAGCCAGCGGCCTAAAAAAGTATTTTGAAACTTTTTATACTGTTTTTCTGTTGACTGTTTGGGTCAAAGTTCTGCAAGCCATTGACAAAAGGAATATTATTCTCCAGTCAGGGAAATTAACTCTTGAGACAGAGGCAGAAAATATCAGAGCATTGCAGGAGGAGATGAAACATCTGATGTTCGGGGTTGATTTTGGAACGAGTGTGGCTGTGGGTTGAAGAATAAAGAAGTGCTTAACCAGTCTCCAACTCCTCTTCACCTGTAATCCAGCAATGCCTGTAACCAAGCAATGCCTCTAATCAAGCAATGCCTGTAACCCAGCAATGCCTGTAACCCAGCAAAGCCTGTAACTGAGCAAAGCCTGTAATCCAGTAATGCCTGTAACCCAGCAAAGCCTGTAACCCAGCAATACCTGTAATCCAGTAATGCCTGTAACCCAGTAAAGCCTGTAACCCAGCAATGCCTGTAACCCAGCAATCCCTGTAACCCAGCAATGACTGCAATCCAGCAATGACTGTAACCCAGCAATGACTGTAATCCAGCAATCCCTGTAACCCAGCAATGACTGTAATCCAGCAATGACTGTAACCCAGCAATGACTGTAATCCAGCAATCCCTGTAATCCAGCAATCCCTGTAACCCAGCAATGCCTGTAACCCTGAAATGACTGTAATCCAACAATGACTGTAATCCAGCAATGCCTGTAACCCAGCAATAACTGTAACCCAGCAATCCCTGTAACCCAGCAATGACTGTAATCTATCAATAACTGTAATCCAGCAATGCCTGGAACCCTGCAATGACTGTAATCCAGCAATGACTGTAACCCAGCAATGACTATAATCCAGCAATGCCTGTAAACCAGCAATGACTGTAATCCAGCAATCCCTGTAACCCAGCAATGACTGTAATCCAGCAATGCGTGTAACCCAGCAATGACTGTATTCCAGCAATGACCGTAATCTAGCAATACCTTTAATCCAGCAATGCCTGTAACCCAGCAATGCCTGTAACCCAGCAAAGCCTGTAACCCAGTAATGCCTGTAACCCAGCAATGACTGTAACCCAGAAATGACTGTAATCCAGCAATGACTGTAACCCAGCAATGCCTGGAACCCGGCAATGCCTGTAACCCAGTAATGCCTGTAACTCAGCAATGCCTGTAACCAAGTAAAGCCTGTAACCCAGTAATGCCTGTAATCCAGCAATGCCTGTAACCCGGCAATGGCTGTAACCCGGCAATGCCTGTAACCCGGCAATGCCTGAACCCGGCAATGCCTGAACCCGGAAATGCCTGTAACCCAGTAATGCCTGTAACCCAGCAATCCTTGTAACCAAGTAAAGCCTGTAACCCGGCAATGCCTGAACCCGGCAATGCCTGAACCCGGCAATGCCTGTAATCCAGCCACGTGGAGATGAGGATTGGTGGATCACAACAAAAGCACTGCAGTCACCATCTCCTGACCTGCAGGGTAAGGCAGTACATGTGGATTCATTCCCACCCGTCTTCTATCCCTCGTGGAGATTGAGTGTTGCCCCCTCGCACGTAATGTATGTTTTCTTCAATTTCCTCCCACATGAATAAACACTTGTGGAAAGGGTTGGCCAGACATGACAATATTAGGAGCACGGGGCGCGCGATACACTCTCTTAGATGGCTCTGCCTCGGGAACTGAGAGGCAGTTAAATCCCTTCGATTGGGCTTGGTGATTGTGGCAAAAATAATGCATCGCTACAGTTGCACTTTGACCTCACAAGAACAAACCTTCTCACAATGCAACGTGCCAGCAGGGTTTTATAATTTTACTGTTAACGAGTTTATTTACCAAGACGATGAGGTCATTATTCATACGCCAATTTAAATGGGGTTTTTTGTCCATCAGCCTCCATGATGTAAATTGCAGTCTCCAACCCGTATAATCCACTCCGTCTCTCTGGCCTCTATTCATGAGCGATGCAGGATCATTGTCCAAATCGTCTTTTTAAATATCGTTTACATCTAAGGCCACTGTTGTTGTACTTACGTATGTTGACCTTCTTTCGCGCCGTACGTAGCCAATCGTGCTGATCGGAGATGTAGGGGGAATTACAACAAACTAAGCACATACTCTTTGGTTCTTTCGGTAAAGTCACGTAGGTATAAAATAAATCACTGTGATTTATTTCAAATCAAAACTAAACACACACACACACAACACGATGGATGTGTCCAGTTCGCGGGTTCAAATCCTAGCAGCCACTTGTGCTTAAATCCGATTCTCATTCGACGGAAATGCTTGGCCAACAAAAACTGCACAGGAAATCCGTATTAAAATGATTTTTATTACTTGGCTTCAACATTTAAGTTCGCCACGTGTCAAACACTTTATGCAGGGCATGTAACGGTGAATCGTCTAATGCTGGATAATAGGTGCTGAGGTGACTTTTATCTTCCAAGGCATTGATTATGGGTGTGACGCTGCATTCACGGAATCTGCGAGCTACTTCACGTGGGATCAATGAAAGAAGCGATAAAACATCAAAAATATATAGACCGATTCTTAGCGCGGAAAAGATGATCTCGATCATCCCTTGATTGTTGATGGCAGCTCTGTTTTTATCAGTGAAACGGCTACGCTCTGAAATGCCTCTGACAATATTTTTCACCAGGGGGGAGGGGTGTCACAGATTCAGGTTCGAAGCTTGCAGAGACACGAAGACAAAGAACCCCCCCCCCCCCACCCGTGTAGCCTTAAGTCTGTCGGGGCAAGTTCTGTTAGCGAGCACCTATGAAGGCCGGCACGGCGCACGAGGGGGTGGGTGGCCAGCACCACGCCCGGCAGCCTTTGTCTCCCCAGTGGCGATGTTTACACACCGCACCGGGTACTCGGCTGAGGCCGAGTCGACCTCGGGGGAGGCCCGGGACCTCGTTCATGATAATCGTCACCGGTGTTGGCCGTGAGGCGGGAATCGAACTCGCGTGGTTGGTGCGCACGGACCGTCTCCGTACGCGGCCTCATCGCCGTGCCTGTGCAGAGACGAAACGTCGGCACGCACGGGCGCGAATGACAGAAAAACTGCACACTCATGCAGACACATGCACGGGCACACACACACTCATGCAGACGCATGCACGGACACACACAAACACACTCATGCAGACACATGCACGGGCACACACACACACACTCATGCAGACACGTGCACGGGCACACACACACACTCATGTAGACACTTGCACGGGCACACACACACACTCATGCAGACACGTGCACGGGCACACACACACTCATGCAGACACATGCACGGGCACACACACATGCAGACACGTGCACGGGCACACACACACACTCATGTAGACACTCGCACGGGCACACACACACTCATGCAGACACGTGCACGGCCACACACACACACACTCATGCAGACACGTGCACGGGCACACACACACTCATACAGACATATGCACGGGCACACACACACATATAGACAGATGCACGGGCACACACATACATACACATGCACGGGCACACACACAACACTCATGCAGACACATGCACGGGCACACACACTCATGCAGACACATGCA